AGTGGTTTATTTAGGGGCTTAGGGTTTAGGGGCTTCGGGTTTAGGGTACTACTACTACTACTACTGCTGCTACTACTACTACTACTACTCCTACTCCTACTCCTACTACTACTACTACTACTACTAAAACAAATGCGGCCTCTCTCTCTCCTTTAAGCGTTCCTTGGGAATCGCTTACAGTGCCGGTCAACTGGGAAGAGATGCACCCCTTCAGGGTGCACTCCTCGCCAGACCCGGTGCCCGTGATAACGGGCCGTGAGTGAAACATGCATCCTCGGGTCAAAGTCCGCAGATGGGATGCTTTGTCCTCGACTTCGCTAAATCATTGGGGTAAGAGCTTGACCCCGGATGATTGCAAACCCGGCTGGCAGTGAGTCTTTCGGGTGAAAGTGCCCGAGACCCATACAGAGAGTCTGCAGACGCGAAGAGCAAGTCAGGCCGACCTCAAGCGCCGAGCTGCTCAGCCATCGGCTATTCGAACTTCTGGCTTGATCTCTGATGCCACACTGTCCATGCTTGGGTCCTTCATAACATGCAATGCTCTGGTTGCACAGGGCTCTTCTTTTCCAGCCTTGAACGCCGCGCATCAGTGTTCCGTTTAATCACAGCTGTCTGCGACATCTGCTACGGAGTAACCTGCTATGCGTGCGTGATTGCATGCAGTCATGGGTGATGAGCCTTGAACACATTGCAGGTCTGCCCATGACGACAAGGCAGTTACCAAAGGGGGGATTCCGGCAGTGGCTCTGGTGACTATGACATGTTACGAAGAGTACCAAGGTGAAATGCCAGGACTGAAAGAGACGACAAAGCAAGGACTGCCTGTCTTCCCTTTTAGTCCCACAATTGGGCATTGCAGACTCCTGCATCGCCTGTGGACGAGTCGCAGGACACAGCAGATGCAGGTTGGGCAGCTTTGAACGTGTCATGTGGTAAGGTCTGGCAAACGTCTTGCCACGCCGACCAAGATCTGTTGATCTTTGAGTTGGACGTCCATTATGATCATGAGTGTCCGCGCGAAGTTTTGAAGTCGTCAGACAGGGTTTGTTGCATGGTGCGTCTCCTTGCATCGGTGGCAAAGCACTGGCTGTGAGGTGGCTGAAATTGTCCAGGTCCTGCTTGCAGTGAAAAAAGCCGTGAAGTACATTTTAAACTATCCACGCAATTCCATCTGTCAGGAGAAGAAGCTGTAGTTGCGGATTTGGAAAGTCTGCTGCAGCTGATCCCATTGCACTCGGAAGTTTTCCACATCGACTTTCCGATCTTGATGATAGGACTGTCAGGGCAGGACACGGCGTACACGATTCCGACATTTTCCACAGACGTGTCCAGGCAAGTGCCTATACGGGAAGTGAGAAGATCCCATGCCTCGTCTGTATCCGGATGACCACGTGCTCGGATCCACAAGTCCTGCAGATACAAGTAGATCTGAATTTTGTGGATGGAGTCAGCAACTCCAGGTCCGCCAGGCGCTGCACGAGCCAGTTGTTGATCTCTGCTCGGACAGATTGTGTATCCATCCTGTGATCACGTAGAGGGCGCAGCACATCATCGCTCGATGCACTAGCCAATTTAATTTGTTCCAGGGAATAATATAGATTGTAGGTGTAGGGCTCATTTCATCTCATCTCATCCCTCTCCTTAGGAAGAGGAAGACCTCGATCTCGCCGCTTTCAATTCAAACATTCGTTTTATGCTAGCTGGTAACTTGAACTGTGTTGTTCGTGTTGATGTAGTGTTTTGCAGATTGCGCTTGTTTGTGTATTGGTTTTCTCAATGTTTGTGTTGTGATTTCAACAGGACCGTAGTCATCCCACACCCCAACCATTTTGTAACTTGATTTTTTATGCTGGTCGTGATGCCTTAAGATAATAGTGTAGATAACAACACAACACACAATCCCGTTTAGTTCGCCTGGAGATCTGCCATGTCCACGTGCACAGGAAAAGGCTCGATGGGATCTGGAAGCTGTTTGTGTGAAGTGGGTCACGTGTTCCAAATTACTCTGCTCGGCTTGCAGCATCATCACATCCTCTTTTGACAAGGAACCTTGCCCGACATGCGAGCGGCACAACAGGAGTTCATGAACCGGAAGACTCCTGGACTCTTCTCCTCGTCAACAAGGAACAAAGGCTGTGCCCCTGCTGTCTCTGTTTTGACACGTAGTGGAGCGGGCTGTTGAGCTGTTTGCACTGACGCCGAACGGACTGCTGAGCTGCCTGCTGAGCTGGCTGCTGAGCGTGCCCTGCCTTGAAGCCCTCCAATGTTTCTGCTTTGGCACGAACCACCTCTGCTTTCAGGCGCAATTCCTTTCCGCATCGGCTCGAGTTCTTGCTTCATCCACTCGGTCCTGTTGCTTCTTATAAAACTGCGCATCCTGAACTTGCGCAAATCACTCCTACTGATCTGCGAACTTTGACGACCAGGCAAACCCAACTGACTCTGGCTCAAATCCAGCGTAGGCACGTTCTCATCCTTCAGTATATGTCCTTGCCCAGATGATGAGGCCGGGTGTGGGATAATCTCTTCAGTAGTCTTGAATCTCTTCACTGGTCGAGTTTTGCTTGCAGGTGGGGACTTCCCGGCAGTGAGAGCGCTCGTTAAACGCTTGCTTCTCCGGTGTCGGCTCTCGCGCGGAATCCAACATGGATGTATCAGGAGCCCTGGATGCCTCAGAGCCATGAATGCATCAGGAGCCACGTCCGATGACGTCCGTGTCAGCTATGTCTATACCCCAGCCTCAGCTTCATGCGACACTGCATTCGCATCGATCCTCACTGGCGCTCCCACAAACACTCCATGCCGTTGATGTCCTGAGTCGAAAGGAGAAGTCCTTGTGCTCGTAGCTGTGCCAAGCGTCTCCGAGCTGACTGCAGCAGCCGAAACAAAATTTGTAGTTCCCGAGCTCATTGCTGGAAATCTTTCTTATAGCTGTAATGGCTGCATGGGCAAACTTTCAGAAGGAAGAAGGCTGATTTGACTCATCGTGCTCCTATTTCGACTGAAGGGTGCCTGCCACTATACACAATCATCGCTGCTTTCAAAACTTCAGGCAAGAGAGGCACGACATGCCGCCAAGATGCAAACTCAAAAAGCAGGCCTCCTTCTGCCTCGAAATTCCGACTCACTGACGAGAGAAAGATGGAACCGCGGCCGCCCCTCTGGATGCTAAAGCAGCCCAGTTGCGCATAGAATTTCTCCCTTCTTTCGGCCTTCATCGTCGGCAGATAGGGTTGAGAACATAATGCGGTTTGGTAGAAGATGATAAATGATCTTTGCAGTGGGCCGAGGCTATGTGCTTTGCAACAGAGGAGCTATCTCTTCTGATCGCACCATCTTTTCTTCAAGGCAGCCATAAAATAAAGGGATCAGCACCTGGCGCTGGAATGAGCGGGTAGCCTCTGCGGGTAGCGCCCCTGGATTGTGGCCCTCTGAGACTGCGGCCATTGCCGCTGGCAGGGCCTTAGCTCGAGGAGGCAACACACCCCGGCTATCTCAAACGCACGCACCCTGCATTCCCATCTGAGAACTCCGCAGAGATCAGGTAAGGCAGTTTTGGCGATCCATGGGCGAGGAGGAGGCCGGAGAGCAAGACGCCTAGCACAGACCTCGGCGCCAGGTCGCCCCACCCCGCCAAAACAGCTGCGTCAGGTTCTTGTAGGGTCTTGCAAGTAGCGCCTCAGGCAACCGGCTCCAGGGTTTCACGAGAGCTTCATGTGACCAAGCGGCCCTGCATTCATACCAAACCATACGAAGCCTTCGCACATCGTAGCTGCAAAGGGCTATCCATTGGTCCATTCAACAGATGGCTGGGAGGCGAGACGGTCTGCAACCAGAGGGCTCAGCACATGGGATCCGAAGGCTGGCACCTCCTGTATCTGCTGCGCATATCTTGCCTCAGGAATGAATATAGTTGCACACTGGTCCTACAAGTCAAGACCCTAAACCCTAAAGGCCCTAAACTCTAAGCCGGAAAGATGTCGGGCAGCTTCAGCCAGGATATCACAGACCGACAACTGCGACTGCTGCAGGAAGATACAAACTACCAACCTCGGCAATGCGAGGAACAGCTTAACATGCCACACGACTACTCATTGCTGTCTCCAGGGACGCCAGGTGCAGGCACAAAACATTTAAGACAGAAATGCTGAATGCTCTTCGTTCTGACATGAAGGTCCCTCCAAGCCTTCTCAAACCCTAAACATCCCTAATCCCTGCCACTTTTTGAGATGTCGGCCTCTGTCGCTTACGTGAATTCGCAGGGCAGCTATGCTTTGTCAAGAAGCAGAGACACCGGCAGCATGCTGTGCGGCACGGCACCCACAGCGAGGAAGGCAGCGCTGCCAACGAAAACCGCTCCGATCATGTACGGTGCCTTGTGGTAGCCACCTGAGTTCTCAAAGCCAGGCAGACCCTTTAAGGAGCCCGGCTCGAGTAGGTGGCAGCACACGATACTCGCAACACCTGTTCCCCAAAGCACAAAGACAAGGCGTCTTGCCAAAACGAGCACCGGGACGGGAAGAAGCGCAGAACCACTAGCTACTCGTACATCTTACTTGCCTTTGCCTCTAAGGCGTCGAAAATATGCCCCTTGAGGTCAGCATCAGGATCCATCCGTCCCTGTACTCGAGCTCCGCCCCCGCAAGGTCGAGGCACCTATGGGCATCACATCGCTGACAAGGCCCACCACGGGCTTCAAAGCCCAAGGGAGCTTCGAGATGCCTGCCGCAGCAGAAACATGAGCAAGGCGGAATAGGGCGTCAAGAAACGGGGGTTGCAATGCTGCCATGCTTGTCACTTCACGGGGCTCCGGCTAAAGCTTTCTTTATGTCTAAAACATTGTCTTGTAAAACCATCACGAACCTGAGTAGATTTGAACTCGCGGAGCAGGCACAGCATACCTTTCGGGCGGAAGAGCATCTGTGACGATGAGGGGAAGACTCCCCAAACTCCAGCTAACTTTGCTGGCAAGCTTCGTTTTGTACACGTACGACTCCTTAGAGTTGCCATTGGGCATAATGCTAAATGTCAACTGCATCTGTGCTACAAAACGAGATCGAACAAGTAGCCAAGCTGCCGCTTGACCTGAGAAGTCGGCCACAAATCCTCTATTGACCTCGGCAAGTACTGTACGACAGCAATCGCAGTGCAGCTTTGCTCGTGTCACAGAAGCCCAGCGGCATGTTCCACAACAAACAGCAGGAAAAGGAGTTTGTAGCCAATGGCTCCTGATGACACCAAACTCTGGCCCATTCTGAAAAATTGCAGACCCTTGTAGACTCAATGGCACAGAAGAGCACTTACCACATTGGAGCGCTTTGCCAGCCTGCCAAGTCATCGAGGAACTCTGCAGCACCGCAAGTCCAGGAGCACTCGCCTGGGGCAAAATGGGGGCTACTTTCCGGGCAGCCTTCAGGCTGAAGCCAAGGCAAAGTCTGCTTGGCAAATGGTGCGATGAAGTCACGCCGCTGTTTGCCACCCAGCAGTGTTACCTTCTCGTCACCATTTTCGAGGCTGTCCTCCTTCTTGGCCGCACCATCCATGAAACGTCGCGAGAGCGCGATCCGATGAGATTACCGGATGGGTAGTCCGCAGACTAAGATGTCCATAAAGTTCGCGTGCGAACCTTTAGCCATGTGGCTGCGGAGTGACGAGATCCATCATGCCTGTCTTCTCATGGGACTCATGGGAGAGGTCTCGCCGGGAAGGAAGCTTCGGGTGATCAGCAAGAAATTTAAAGATCAGGTCCTGCACTTCGTTTGCAAGCGCCTGGTTCAACGCACCTGGCTGCCGCAACATCTCACCGGATGGCGTCGATGCAGCCAGGAAATGCTCAAGGCCTGCCGCAGATGCTGCTCCGTCCTGCAGCACACCGCACGACTCATGCGGCAAAGAGCAAAGGGCGAAAAGGCCGAGCACATATCAATAACCAGCTGTAGCACTTGAAATATGCAATCTAGGCATATACACAGATACGGGACAGCATTGCCGGATATTGCTGGACATGTCCGGAACATGAGCATTAGGGCAGCTGGCGGTGGGTGCTCACTTGCTGTCCTCATTATGGAGCTGGCAAGTACCAGCTGAAATCATGCTGAGAGTCATGCAAAGCGCGATCGCCTCATGCTAAATTCACTCGCTCCGCTTTGGGGGTCCTCTTCTCCTCCTTCTGCCCTTTGCTGCGCTTGATGTGGCTGCCTCAGGATGTCACCCACATTTGCTCCGTCAAGGCATCAGACCTTTGAATCTCCGCAGCTGAGAAGCTGCCTTCGGTCGGTTAGCTGCAGGTCCTGCTCCTCCACACTGTACGCTTCTGCAGTTGATTAAGAGCCGATGGTTATATATGCTTCTCGCAGATTTCCCGCGCTGCATGTGAGGGCGCCTCGGATTCGTCGGGAACGGTGGAGGCGACATCCTGTGACACGGTGATTGGTAGAAGAATTAATCGGATGCAGTCGGAACTCGACGACCAACTCTAAGACTCCTGTCTGACGATCCGAATTTCTAGCTAGAACTCGGGTCCGTATATCCCACTTTCAAGCAAGTCGGGGGCTGCGCTCCTCGTCCGGGCAGTCCACGGCCTTTTTAAATATTTGCACACTCTTGGCCTTGACCAGGGCACGAAGCACCCTTACAGCTCTGAAGCTCACTTCCTGGCTCTCAGCCGCTCAGGGGGCCAGGCGACCTGTGTAACGATGTCTTGGTAATTCATGGTCACCGGAGATTCGGCTTCGACTTCCCCGACTTCACCGACTTCCGTCTTTGGCTTCTTGCGCGGTGAGAGGAGCGCTTCTGCGGGTCTCTTCCGCATCGGTGAAGCAGGTTGACGAAGGTCAGATGCACCTACGTCCAGCATGATTCTTGCTCAGACTGTAGGTGCGTGCAAGGCAGTGCTGGCAAAGCAATGGAATGTCAGTTTCGGCGGCAGCCTCCTAGTCTGCTGCTAGCTGCTGTTGCCTTTGGGTAATGTTCTAGGGGCTCCCTATTTCGTTTGACAGCCCGTTTCCTTCGGCAATGCAGCAAAGAAAGAGACAAGGTGGATCGGGCCCCGACATGGCTGGTCTTGCTTGCAACAACTTTCCACGATGCGTGAGAAGCCAGACCAAGCCACAAGGACGAGCTGACTAGCTGCTAGCTGCTGCCAGCTCACCCCAAAATACCAAACCGAACTGCAGGGTCTCCTGGGAGCAAGGCTACACTGCTGCCTAGGGCCCTGTCCCACGAGTCAGTATTTAGCGCATGAAGTGCTGCGGCCTTACTAGGCTCCAGGCTAGCACAGAGGCGGAGAAATGTAGAGAAGCAGTGTTCGGCTCAGATTCGTGAGCAACAACGCAGGCTCAAACAACACCATAGCCACAGCAGAGTTCGGAGACTCGCCTGAATCTGAGGAGCAGGAGATTTCCCGTGGTGGAAGGACAGAGCGTGCCACCTAAGCGCAACGTCAAGGGGAAAAACTGAATTCTGAAACCTCAGAACTTCCGCCACCTCATCCACAGTAGGCTTCTTCGCCACTAACCTGTCGAGCAGATTGCTGCTCTTGGCAGGCGCGCTGCCTGCGGCTGCTCAGCTCAGCAAGTCAGTAGTCCAAGGGGTCAAAGAGTCTTACCAGAATCTTCGGCGCCTGCAGTGGTCGGACGGAGCTGCTTGGCTGGATCCTCAAACTCATTTGAAAGCAGGTAGGACCCTCCCAATGCTCGTTCTTCAGGCCTGGGCTATGATCAAGTAGCCCTTGCTCTGATCATGCACAAGGTCTCCCTTTTTGCATCCCAGGCTGAGGGCCTTATTCTCCAAATGCCAGGACTCCCAGCGTCCAGTCTCTGACACTCCATGCCAGCCTCAGCCACTGTCTCGGCCTTCTTGTAAGCTTCGTACCTGCCACAAAAGAAGGAGGCTCCCTGCAGACACAGTAGCCGCAGCATGCTGCAGCCGCAGCAGATCGCAGCAGCTACCGGGGCCACGTCGACGCGAACGCGACAGCGACACTTCGAAGGCGCCTTCACGACTTGGCCAACGAGGAGAACCCGGCCAGCGCTCAAGTCGCCCTGGCGACTTTCTCCACGCGCCGGTGCTCGACGGCTGCTCATGCCATGCGTTGCGACCGGACGGCAGCAATGAAGCGCAGGGACACCGACGCGTGCAGGGTGGGGCCCGCGACGGCGCCCATTTCGGCGTCGTAGAGGCTTCGTCAGCGGCCGTCCTTTATTGGCCCCCGTGCAAAGCGAACGAGGAGGAATCCGCCACGGTTCGGCACTCATTTCCACACCGGCCGGTTTTCGCAGGGCCTGTTATCGGCCTCAGTCACGGGCCGGCCCTTTGCCGAAGCAACGAGCCTATCATCTTGGGCCTTGGGAAAAGGAGGCTGGACTTTTCTATTGGTCTCTGTACTCTCGCTGCTACATGCCACTACGGACACAGCAGCAAGAAGCAGCGAATGCAGTAGCACCGCCAGCATGCAGCTGCAGTAGTGGCACCGGCAACATGCGCCAGTGGCACTGTCAGCAACAGCAACAGCAGACACACTCAACACGAGAGTCATGACGGATCAAAGCTGTTTCGTGAATACACTCGACCCAAATCTGACAGGAAAAGTGCATGTCGTTTGCATCATGCTGGCCGACCTTGTCTCTTGTGGTTGATTGCTCTGTCCATGCGTCTTGGGCACATGTACGCCTATCTATCTGTCTATCTACCTGTCCATCTATCTATCGGTAATTTGCACATGCACATACAAGCATTACACGGATGGGCATGCACAGGGACATCTACATACCCCCTAAACCCTAAACCCTAAACCCTAAACCTTTCTTGAGCCGGAAGCACCCTGCATGCGAACTCTGAGGGTCCGTCAGCTTGGGGGGCCTTGCTGCTACCTGTAGTCTCCATTGTAGTTCCTTTTTTTTGGTTTAACCAATTCTATATTAAGGATCCTAAAAGGTAACCCCAAAAAGGAACTACAATGGAGACTATAGGTAGACTTGGAACTACGCCCCTTACTTAACTTTTTAGGGACTTTTAGGAGTAGCTTTAAGCCAGGGTTCAGGGACTTCAGGGTTTAGGGTTCTAAGGGGCTTGTGAGATAGGGATTACCCATAGGCCCCTAAGTAGTTCCTGTACGGGATTACGTTATAGGATTCTAAATATAAACCATAAAAAGGAACTACTTAGGGGCTTATGGGTAGGGTATGTTTGCTCCAAGCTTGCGAGGCATACGTTTGCGGGCCTGCTTGCGACCAACTCATGGTGTGTAGCTGCCCTGTTACGCTCGTCAACAGAGGTTTAGGGTTTGGGGTTTTAGGGTGCTTGGTCCAGATTCCATGTCATTTGTAGCGCAAGACGGCTAAGGTCACCAGGGAATCACAAACCCCGCTCCCTGAGAAAAGACCAAGAAGTGACGAAGATATGGGTACATGTGTGTACTAACTATATATATATATACATGCATATTTATGTATGTATGCATGTATGTATGTATGTATGTATGTGTTATATATATATACATACGAAGACCGTTAACATGAGGACTTGCTTATCAGGGCTTTGGCGCATCTGAGACATAGGTGAAAGCCTGTTTGCTTGGCAGCTGGCCTGCTGTTGTGCTTGGGATTGTCCTGATACGGAAGCCTGATTCATTAGTTATAGAACTCCTGATGGTTCCCCCCCCCCCCCC